CTGAGTCCCGAACATTAACAGGAAGATTATTCCAAAGCTGGGGGGCTTTGTATGAGAAAGCTCTCCCCTCTGATGTAACTTTATTAATTCTAGGTACTAATAGTAAGCCAGTACCTTGTGATCTAAGTAGGCGTGATGGTTCATAGTGAGAGAGAAGTTCACTCAGGTACAGCGGGGCGAGTCCGTTTACAGCTTTACAGGCCAGTAATAGAATTTTATAATCAATGCGAAATTTAACTGGTAACCAGTGTAGGGTTGATAAAACTGGGCTGATATGTCTGAAAACTTTCTGGTTTTTGTGAGACTCTTATAATTATAAGTTACTAATGCGAATAATTTAAGCCATTAACTTGGCTAGATAGCAACTGATCAGTTCATAATATAAGCTAATGTTAGCGCTTACTGAGTAGCTGAACTGTCGCCACAGAAACAGGTCAGCCAGTATTAATTACCAACGACCTGCAGGACCAAGAAAGGCCCAAGAGTTTAACAGTGGCCCACAGCAATAACAGAATAAATTTACTTTTTGATAACATGTTTTGATAACAATCAGCTAGCTAGCTAATTTAGCTGGCTAGATCCAGCACTCTGACAGCTAAGGCTGCAGAACATTAAATAAGATTTATTAGAAAAAAAAAGTTTCTTTGTTTATTCTCACATGATTGTAAAGAAAATGCCTCTAAAATTTCAATGTAACTGGTGCTAGTTAACCATACTGCGAGCATATCGTTCAATAAAATCAGCTAAAGCTAACGTTTCATCAGCTAGCATTAGAGAGACTAGCTATATTAGCCAGTTATTTATTTGGCAAAATAAATTTACATTTTCATACATTTCACTCCCTTCAGACACAGCCATCTCGTTAGACGGACCAGACCACCGGATATGCGTGGGCAGGGTAACTGAAAACAGTACAAAAAAGTACAAAACTTTTGACCCTCTATCACAAAAGTGACTAATCCTACGTCCTTTAACCTTTTTTCCTTTTTGTGAGGGGTGTGATATATATATATATATATATATATATATATATATATATATAGAGTATGTGTGTGTATATATATATATATATACACACACATACTCAATACAAATGTGTAAAGAAATAATACTTCTTGAAGAAAAGGTATTTAAACAACAAGCACAATTTAAAGAAAAACACAGCAAATGTCTGGATTTCCAAATTAACCTTTATAAATCTTCAGGAAAATATCCTTTAGTCTTCCACTTCTTGTGGTTAAGGGGTCTGTTGTGCTCAGTATTTTTGCAGAGGCTTTCAATAAGCATCCTGCCTTACTGGCAGTCAAAATGATTTTCCTACATTCCAGCTGCAGGAAATCTATTGAAAGATATCAGAAAATATGGAAACATCATGACCCATTTTAAAGATATAGGCTTTCTTAAGCATTATAAATGGTAATTTGGAAACCTAATGATATAATATTTACTGGTTTACTATTTCTTACCCAAATTTTCCCTGACCTGACAATTCCAGGACTGACAACCTCCTAACCAATCAGCTTCAGGCTGTAATCCATGGTGGCCAAACAACTTTCTGTGGCTTTTCGCTCGGCTGGCATTTTCTATATTTTTTATATCCCAGACGTCTGAAAAAGGCATTTTGAAAATCACTTTTGTTATTAAACAAAAACAGTTAAACTGGCTTTATGTGCGCTTTCCAGCAGATACAGGCTTGAAACAACTGCTCAATCACATGATAGAAACCTGCCAGGCCTGACCAAATACACGTGCTTTTATAGAGACCATATCGTACATTATTCTTCTATCTTGTGAGATACATTTATAAAGTCTATGTGTTTTTATTCACTGTTTGAGTCATAATTCATTTTTACATAATCATTCATGTTTTTGTTACTGTGCTTTTAAGACAAAGTGAACACCATTTACCAAAGAATGCACCGGCTACAAATTATCCCACATATACCTACAAACTGGCAACAAAAGTAGCAACATATGCTGACACAGCAGAAACAGGACTGTGGCACACAAAATGAATTACTTTAAAGGGTGGATACACAAAACAATACAAAAATGTGCAAAAATCACTGGATGGGAAATCAACACAACATGCCATGTCAACCTTTTCAGACGACTGTATGTTACAGCAATGAAGCAAGTGAGCACCACCTCCCGTTGGCCATGTTTCTATTAATGAAAATGAGAGGAGCTAGCCAGATCATCTCACATCAAAAGCTGGGCTTTTTTCCAGCATTTTAGCTGTTTTTCTTTATTGAACACATACTCCATGCACTAATATAAATTTTGCGTTGAGGCTACTGAGTAAATTAGAATTCCTGCTGTACATAAAACAGGATGGGATTTGGGTTGATTTAACATTGAAACAACCAAAACAGATAATGTTTAAAAAAAGGTTGAAAAGGAGTTGATTAAATGTCCAGTTTCAACCGGTTTTCAGCGTTGATTCAACATAGAACAGTATGTGCACTTCAGCATTGAATCAACATTAGAAATCAACGGTGAGTCAAAGTTGTTTCAACGTTATTTTGTTATCTGGGAAGTCACATTATCAGTATGGTTTGCTGCAGTATATTAAAATGCTTCATGTCTATATTTTATTTAACAGAGCTTTGGAAATCACCAGCAGAATGACTGGTAAGACTAAAATGACGGTTTGACTAATATGGACCTAACAGTCAAGCTGATTATTATAAAAATGTGTGACAGTGCCTTCATAAGATTTTAAAGCTACTTTCGTTATTCTAACACTTTGTTGTGTTTCAGCCTTAAAATAAAACTGATTACAGTCGGGGGCAGGAATCTCTTGGCACAATGTGATATGATTTGGTTTGATTTGATTTCAATTTAAAATAATGCCAAGATGCAATTATAAAACCATTCTTGTTCCCTGTTTCTACATGTTGATGCGTCTTCATTTTTATTTCTAAAGTCTATAATTTTTTAATCGTTATCATTAACATAGTTTGATCCAGCTTATTTTTTGGCGTCTGTATTTTTAACATTAACTGATTTAATTAAATTGTTTTATGAAAATAGCTTTTTTTAATTTTTCTATTTTACCTTGTTTTACTTTGTTCTTTAGTTGATGTGCACAAAAGCAACTTGTGTGCTGGAGAAACCTTAGACTGCTACATGGGCTCTGCTTGAGTAAATGAGTCGATATGCTTAACATAAAAAATGTTTTCCATTGTTATAGTGGAGTTGCTTTGGAATTCTGCTACAGATGACTGTAGTAAACCAGCAACTACTATATTTCTATTATTATACAACTCATCTGAACCATCGGGACACTTGAGCTGTGTGTAAAATGCTGAGAATTCTCTGTCCATACAGAATAGCGGTACACAGTAAAAATGTCCTGGTACTGTGCATACAGTTGTGTTCTGTTAATTGATTAATTGAAACTTTACCTGGAAAGCATTTTTTTTCAGAGCCTTTAAAATCCGAACACTGACTCAAACAAACATATATCCAGAGATTTTTATCACAAATAACACCAGAGAATTTTGAGAAACATGTACATCTTTGCAACTTCATCATTGTTTACAAGCTTTGAAAGGGTCTCTTTCAAGTAAATATGTTTTATTCAAAACATACTTATTTATATTGATTTCTGAACTCAGTTGGAAGTGTACAGTAATGGTAATATAATAATAATAATAATAATAATAATAATAATAATAATAATAATAAAAGAAGGATGTGATTATACTTAAGTAGCATGTAGAGTTTATTCATATAACACTGAGTGAAAAATGTATTTTATACAGATTAACTCTGGTGAAGGGGCACCATTTCACTAAAGCAGGAAAGAGTCAATGCAGATGGAGTCTGAGGTTTAAAGAAAATGACCTTGATGGGGAGAAGCTATCACACCACAAGTGAGCATATGTATATATACACACACAGTCTGCGTTAATTGGTACACATACCTACACTCAGGTTTCTACACTCACGGTCATTTTTTTAGGTCCACTTATCAAACAGGAGCACTTTGTAGTTCAGATTGTAGTCTTATCTGTTTCTCTGCGTACTGTATTAGTTTCCTTTTACCCTGTTATTCAGTGGTCAGGACCCCCAAGGACCACCACAGAGCAGGTACTATTTGGGTGGTAGATGATTCGCTGCACTGCAGTGACACTAACGTGGCGGTGACATGGTAGTGGGATGTTATTGTGTGTTATGTGTGCTGCACTAAGTGGATCACACATAGTGCAGCAGATTCACTGCTGGCTGAGAACAGTTGGCCAACCAAATATGTCCAATGTTTTGTGTCCAGAAACTGACCACTGATTAGATCAAGAGGAAACTGTGCAGCAACACATGAGCTATAGTCCACTACCATTTTTTTAGTTTCAAAGCGATCGACGGCTGTGGAAAATAGCGGGACCTACCCGTGCAGGCACTGGACGTCAATCAAACGTCAGAAAGACGTTGAGCTCTAATGTTGGACAGATGTTGAATTTTAGTTGAAAATGAAAATCAGGTTGACATCAAAACCCAACATTGGCTTGACATCAATCTCCGACGTTAGACAGACAGAGTTTGGTTGAAAATGAAAATAGGGTTGATGTCAAAACCCAACGTTGGGTGGACGTCAAGCTCCAACGTTGGATAGACCTTGAATTTTGGTTGGAAAGGAAAATCGAGTTGATGTCAAAACCCAACATTAAATAGACGTTGAAGTTTTGTTGGAAATAAAAAATTGGGTTTACGTCAAATCCCAACATTGGATTGACATCATCCTCCAACATTAAATAGAAACTTTTTGAAATTTGTTTAGTTTGGGTTTTGTTGGCATGACATCAGACTTTTAACGTGTGACTGAGAAACTTGGATGATGCCATAACAAGGTTGGACAGATGTCAAGATCCAATGTCACACAGACCCAAAGAATTAATTTTAAGCAGAGAAAAGTAAAAAAAAATAAAACCTCAGTGAAACTGGAATCTAAAAATTGTTTGCTGGTTTTCCTGGATTAAATGACAAATGCAATAGGCTATTTTTAACCTTTTATTGTAATATTTTTAAAGAACCTGTTTACATTATTTTAAAAGGGTAGATTCAAAACAAAAATTAATTTCACAAAATTCACAAAACTGTCTGTCCTTTTGGAACCAGCTAACAGTTATCACATGAACTTCCGAAAAGTCTTACAAAAAAAGTCCTTTAAGAAAGTTTTTTTCTGCCACCGCCGCCCACCCTGTCTGGGGCATACTTCAAGCAGAAGGCAACAGCTGCCGCAGTGTTTGCCTCCGTTTCACCTGTAGTCCTCTGGACACTCTCTGTAAGAATAATTTGAATATGTATATCTATGGGGAATATAGAATACGATAGACTAGTGTAAGAAGCAAAAACATTTCTTAGCATACATTCTTAGGGGCCATGTATGTTTAACACATCTTTACATGTATACAACGTGTTAAATGTCCATGGCCTGCTGAGGTTAAGGAGATTTCAACTTTGAATGCTGTTCACAAACAGCATGCAACTGTCTACATTCTGGCAGAAAAACGTGAATGCCAGCAGCTGTCTTTGTTTTAAATCAAAGAATGGAAAAGTCGTCTATACTATGACGATGCTTCGCCGAACCCCGTGAGGAGACACCGGGTAGGTTGTGACCGAATGGTATTTAGGATGAAGTTGCAGGTTGAAGATACGACAACTCTGAGTGGTTCTTTTCAAATGGTGAGTGATTTATTTACAAACGTGCAAGACATACAAAAGAAAAACTGTGCAAACGAAAACAAACGGTAGTTAAAATATTAACCTGACTCAATGGCAGTACAGGTAAGTATATTTAGTCCTAGGCTGCAAGGCCATAGAACTATACTTTTGACTAGCTTTACTCACATTTCCCTCAGCTGCCTCTCAGTCTGAGGTGAGTACCATCGAGCTAGCCTCCCTTACTAAACCTCTCCCATACCTCTTATAGGCATAGCCCCGCCCCTGCATCGCCTGAGCCAACCCATTCCACTCCACAGGGGTGCTGCTGTCCTCTAAGAATAGGTTAAAACTAGGGTAAATAAAACCATGATTAATTTCATAAGGCCTTAATACGTTATGTTACCGGTAAAAGATGTTTCATTACAGTGTGCACATTTGTTAACCTGTCTCACTCTCTTTTCTGGGACCTAGGTTGGAGACATCACCCCTCCCATGAGCTAGCCGTGGGCTTGCCAGCACACTCATGAGTGAGCTCACTCTGCTCTGCCTCCTTTTTGCTGTCTCTGCTAGGGAACAGACAACAGGTGAGTATTATAGGTAGGTATTCAGGTAAGTATTACACAGTCTTTGGTGATGGGCAATGCATTTGCCTCATCACATATACATCATGTTTACTCTAGAAACAAATTAAAAACTGTGCACTGAAAATCTGACGTTTCTTGCGGGTAGCGGCAAGGTTGTTAATAGGTGGCCACTAACCAACAAAGTAGACACTAGACAACACTGGGGATATATCCCTTTTACCTGTGACAACAGTGAAGAGACAGAGCTTTGTGAAGGCAAGCTTGCCCTTCCCCCCTTTCGTGTTGAAATTCATCATGACCTCATTTGTCATCGACCTATGGCTACAAAAGGAAAAACATTTGTCACCACTGCTTCAGAATTTTATGAAATGGCATGATCTCGCAATTACAAAACTCCGCAGAGGTCTATTAATTTAAAAGGATTGATACAGGACGGGAAGACACACAAGTCTTATTTAGCACCAGGCAGTGCCCCTTTTCCCAAACTGGGGCTAAATCTTAAATGGCTTTCTGCTCCCTACATAGTGCACTTAACATAGGAATTTAAATACTGGCTTCTGCACCACAACAGTGCATAATATAGCTAAAAAATACTCATATGGGATTCAGCCACATCCACACTCGACAAATACTGCACTATTTGCCTGTAGAAGCTAGAATTTCAAAATGTCCATAGCACATTATTTAGGCACTACGGAACCGTTTGAGACTGAGCCTGGGTTGGTTTGATGCTACCTAAGGCAGCTCTGATTGAAACAGAGACATTTGAGGCATGTAAGCCATGCAAGTGACATTTAGTCTTTTATACTGCCATTTTACAGTGAATCACATCCAAGCCTGTGATATTTATAATGCAGTTGTTTAGCAGGCTTGCTATGTTTTAGCCTGTCAGCTAGCTGACCATCCTAGCTATAGTTATGAAGCTGTCAGCCCCTCGGTTTAAACAAAAATGGGTTCTTACTTCATTAGTACACTCTGTCCAGGGAGGAAACACTATAAATAACCTCTGTAGTATCTATTTTATGAACATGTGCGATGCAGGTGTTTATTAGTGGAACTGAAGAGCCGCATCAACACGAGCCAACTTTGATCACATGATAGTCTGAAAGTGGAAAATCTCTCTGATAACAGAAGTGCAGTAACTTCTATCAGCTACTTTTTAACTCTTGTGTTCTTGGTCAACATAATCCACCATAACCACGTTTTACTGCTTACAAACTCAATGTTATGAAGTCAGTTCACGTTTCCTAGTAATATGAATTACTCAGAGGTCAAAAACTGCTAAATAAAACAGACATTATGCGCTTTGCCAAAAGTGAAAATTGTTACATAAACAATGTAACATTTAATTTAACATATGATTATGAGTGAATTCCAATTTTGCCTTTAGCCGTAACAAGAGGAGCATGGTACACTGGCTAAAAATATTTCTTAAAAATCATTCTGTTGTCAGTCACTAAAAATCATCGTATAAAACAGTTGGAAATGAGAGAGAACATTTTCTACTCTCTTGTTCCTCAACATTTAATGATGAGCTGCTCAAACAGAAAACAGCATTTGACCACTGAAGGTGCTATAATGAGACCCATCATCATATATCCAAGCATTGGCCCCGAGTTTAATAGAGACGACGTCTCCTACTTCCAGTAACAGTGAGACTCCGTTAGAGGAATTCACGACGTGCTGGTCTTGATAAGAATATACTGCAGCTACGTGATGTCCATTCTTCTGTAAGAGCGCTTGTACAACTCTTCCACTCCATCCATGGGTGGAGAAACTGAACTGGTAGACTCCTCTCACAGGCGCAGTGAAAATTCCTGTTGAAATATTAGTAAAAATAGATGTACAGGATGATGACACATAAAAGCAAATATCTTACATCAGTCGTCATCTGATATAGTATATATTTAAAGTATATATAAATGATATAAATTATACATAAATGATACACATATCAGTGACTTGACAAATAGAAAAAAATAGGTTTTCAATTATATATATATATATATATATATATATATATACACATATATATACACAGTTGTGCTCATAAGTTTACATACCCTGGCAGAATTTATGATTTTTTGATATTTTTTTCAGAGAATAATAATGATAATACAATAACTTTTCTTTTATTCATGGTTAGTAGTTGGGTCAAGCCATTTATTATCGAACAATTGTTTTTGCCCTTTTTTAAATCATAATGACAACAGAAACTACCAAATGACCCTGATCAAAAGTTTACATACCCTGGAAGTTTTGGCATGATAACATACACATAAGTTGACACACACACACGTTTAAATGGCTACTAAAGGTAACCATCCTCACCTGTGACCTGTTTGCTTGTAAATCAGTGTGTGTGTATAAAGAGTCAGTAAGTTACTGGGCTCCTGACAGACCCCTGCATGTTTCATCCGGTGCTGCCACTGACATTGTTGGATTATGAGACGTGGGGAAAGAATTATCAAAGGATCTGCGGGAGAAGATAGTTGAACTTTATAAAACAGGAAAAGGATATAAAAAGATATCCAAGGAATTGAGAATGCTAGCAGTGCATTCAGACTCTAATTAAGAAGTGGAAAATGAGAGATTCTGTTGAAACCAAGCTAAGGTCATATAGACCAACAAAAATTTCAGGTACGACTGCCAGGAAAATTGTTCGGGATACAAAGAAAAACCCACAAATAACGTCAGCTGACATACAGGACTCTCTGAAAAAAAAGTGGTGTGGCTGTTTCAAGATGCACACTAAGGAGGCACTTGAAGAAAAATGTGCTGCATGGTCGAGTCGCCAGAAGAAAGCCCTTACTACGCCAATGCCACAAAGCAGCCCGCTTACAATATGCCAAACAGCTCAGAGACAAGCCTCAAGATTTCTGGAACAAAGTTATTTGGAGTGAATTGAACTTTTTGGCCACAACCATAAACGCTACATTTGGAGAGGAGTCAACAAGGCCTATGATGAAAAGTACACCATCCCTACTGTAAAACACGGAGGTGGATCGCTGATGTTTTGGGGATGCGTGAGCTACACAGGCACAGGGAGCTTGGTCAAAATTGATGGCAGGATGAATGCAGCATTTTATCAGAAAATACTGGAGGAAAATTTGCACTCATCAGCCCGGAAGCTGCACACGGGACGCACTTGGATGTTCCAACATGACAATGATGCAAAACACAAGGCCAAGTCGACCTGTCATTGGCTACAGCAGAAAAAAGTGAAGGTTCTGGAGTGGCCATCTCAGTCTCCTGACCTCAATATCATTGAGCCACTTTGGGGAGATCTCAAACGTGCAGTTCATGCAAGACAGCCCAAGAATTTACAGGAACTGGAGGCATTTTGCCAAGAACAATGGGCAGCTTTACCATCTGAGAAAATAAAGTGCCTCATCCACAACTACCACAAAAGACTTCAAGCTGTCAGTGATGTTAAAGGAGGGAATACATGGTATTAACGACTAGAGTATGTAAACTTTTGATCAGAGTCATTTGGTAGTTTCTGTTGTCATTATAATTTAAAAAAAGGCAAAAACAATTGTTCGATAATAAATGGCTTGACCCAACCACTAACCATGAATAATATATATATATATATATATATATATATATATATATATATATGCAATCTCTTGGAAATATCTGTTTTTTTAGTAATTCTTTTTTCATATCAGTACTGGATTTCTGTCAACACCTTCAGACACAATGCAAATTATTTTAATTTGTTTCGCTGCTCAATACAGATGTTATTAGTCTTTTATTTATCTTGCATTATATTATTTTAAAATTTCACCAATATAAGCAGGTGTATATATTCAGGTGTATATATCCGCTGTTGACGGAAGAAAACCTCGTATCTCCAAAATGGTAACTTTACTGGAAAAGGAGGAAACCTACTTTGTTTCAATGTAAGTCAATGGAACCAGACTTTTTTCCAAATCATTTTAGATTATTTCTTTTAGACCATTCATCATTTAGTGATTTCCCACAATGTAAAGAGTAACATGTATTTTCAAATTATGTCAAAAATGGAGATACAATGTTTTCTTCAGACAACAGCGATATATGTGTGTGTGTATATATATATATATATATATATATATATATATATATATATTATGTACTATATTTAGTGTAGCATGGCACATTATACCATTTTACTTTATGACACAGAAAAGTTTGTTCTTGACAGATTAATGATTAATGTGTCTATTGTCACACATTTTTGTTGCATGAAAATCACAGTAGTTTTGTTTATTAACTGTTACAGCACATGACATGTTAAGTTCTAATGAATCAGATACTTTATAAAAAAATAAACATGGACACATGAAATCAACATGAATGCAATCACTACATTCATTTTAGCACATTTTACCACTTTAACCATCTTTATTTGTCACTAATCCATAAATAAAACTATTATAATATTATACTGTGCAAATAAATAAATGATGATTTTTTATACTATACATATAATGGAATCTAATCGTTTAGGAACAGTCTACCTGTAGCTGGGTTGTAAGCGTTGCCGATGTTGGTGAAGACGTGTTTGTAGACCAGAGGAAATAAAGTGCTGTATGGTCCAGTATGACCAGCTTCACCTGCTGAGAGTGATGCTGAAAACACCACTTTTCTCTCTTCAGTAAACAGAACATTTTACATTGTTAGTCAAAAAATGTAAAAACTGACTTTAGTTCTTCTTCTCTTCATTAAAACATTGTTTAAATGTTCATGACACAAATCTATTACATGTAAAAGCCATCCATCCATCCATCCATCATCTAAACCGCTTATCCTTCTGGGTCGCGGTGGGGTGCTGGAGCCTATCCCAGCTGTCATTGGGCGGAAGGCAGGATACACCCTGGACAGGTCGCCAGTCCGTCGCAGGGCAGACAGACAAACATACACATTCACACACACACACTCACACCTAGGGCCAATTTTAGCACGTCCAATTGGCCTGACTGCATGTTTTTGGACTGTGGGAGGAAACCAGAGTACCCGGAGGAAACCCACGCAGACACGGGGAGAACAGGCAAACTCCACACAGAAACGACCCTGGTCGCCCGGCTGGGAATCGAACCCAGGCCCTTCTTGCTGTGAGGCAACAGCGCTACCCACTGCGCCACCGTGCCACCCACATGTAAAAGCCAGGATCTCGAATTCATTTCACACACATCATCTAAACCGCTTATCCTTCGGGGTCACAGTGGGGTGCTGGAGCCTATCCCAGCTGTCATTGGGCGGAAGGCAGGATACACCCTGGATAGGTCGCCAGTCCATCGCAGGGCATGCAGACAGACACATTCACATGTAGGGGCAATTTCAGCATGTCCAATTGGCCTGACTGAATGTCTTTGGACTGTGAAACCGCAGAACCCGGAGGAAACCCACACAGACACGGGGAGAACAGGCAAACTCCACACAGAAACGACCCTGGTTACCCGGCCGGGAATAGAACCCAGGCCATTCTTGCTGTGAGGCAACAGCGCTACCCACTGCGCCACCGTGCCACCTTCGAATTCATTCACCCTTTGTAATTTTTCCTTTAAATAAATAAATAAATAAATAAATAAATAAATAAATAAATAAATAAATAAATAAATAACTATCAGTTTCAGCTCAGCTTTTTCAATGAGTTTGTCTCATTGTTTCACCATCACAGCTGCTGACTGAGCAAAGAGAGGTTCAGAATTTGATGTAGACCTGCTGTCTCACTCTTCTGCACAAGCTTGCAAAAATCAGATTTCATATGTTTTTGCTGTCCAGTCTATCAAAAATCAATATGAATACAACCTGGAAATGCCAAAAATTGGATTTGGGCCAGCAGTTTGAACAAGGCCTATTATGCTACACCTACCCTTACCTAACATTAATGCATCTGATCCAGCCAATCAAGGATTTCAGAAGATGTTAATTAACTGGATCAAATGCAGTGGATGGTAGTTGGACCTACACTCTGAAGTATGGTTTGGTGAGAGTTTTTTTTTATGAGGCTAATTTGTCTTGGACAAGAAGTTGTTAAGTACCAGTTGGCAGGCAGAGCTATGAGTAGTTAATACCAATTTAAATGAGTTAAAAATAGGGCACACATTGATCATGATGGAGTCTAATAGAGGCACATTGACACACACTTTCCAAACGTTAAAGCTAATCAGGTGCATCTGCACAACACAATGCTCTGTAGTGCAGGAACACATGATAATGAATTCAGCAGCCTGTCAAGAGTCAATCCAACAGGTCATCTGTGAAACTATTTGCAATAAAGATCCACAACTAGCCAACTCAACACAAAATACTGGAGTCAGCATGAGCCAGAATTACTGTGGAATAATTGTGACCCCATGGTGAGTCTGTGCGCCAATGAACTGATGCTGCTGAGGCTGAGGTTTTGTAGTATCTGTATGCACACAAAATTCCTTTTCTGTCTACAAATTTTTCAAATATTATGTGAAAAAATATTTATTACCTCGATTCTCCTTTTTCAGCTTCTCCACTTGGTTGTCAAAGTCTTTCAGTAACAAAAGTACACAGTACGTCAGTTAGTCATTCATGTCACAATGAAAGCACATTCATTTCCATAAATCGTCACCCAAATCAACACTTTAAATGAGCAATCACATTAATGGAGATCGCTGGTCAACACTGAACATTTCTGAGAATCATCAGGCAGTTCTTTGTGTGCAAAACCTAATGACTGTGTCCACTTTAATAAATCTCTCAACTGAAAATTCATAAGACAGTTAAATATGAAACATAAGAGAATATTCATCTCATCTTTTTATGACAAAGTCAATTATAGATGTTTACCATTATTTTTGGTTTTCAGTTCCTCCAGTTCAGTCCCAAATCTGGCCTCCATGGCAGTCTGATTCACTGCTTGAGCTAAAGACGAACACAGAGGATTAAAGTGTGAACACAACATAAACAAAAAGATCATCAGCTCAAGGAAACATCATAGTTTGATCCCATTACTTAGACCAGTGGGGGGGACTGAGGGCCGGAGTCCGACACAGTTTGCTGATTTTTCTGCTGTGACTCAACAACTAAACCTCCTGACAAACTGAGTCCAATCAGTTGTGTTTAAGCAATAAAATCAGCAAACTGTGCTGGAATCGGCCATCTAATACCAGAGCTCTCCATCCCTGTCTTAGACTAAGAATGTACTCAGGCTGTGTACATGTCAGCATGGTAACATGTTCCAAACTAATCTCTCATATCATTTTCACTTTCTCACCAATTAAGTTAGAATTTGACTAAGACAAAGTTTCATCACTCACATTGAATTAACTGACTCTGCTCCTCATTCTTCTTCCTCAGTTCCTCCACTTGACTCTCACTGGCTCTCAGTCTGCTCTCCATGCTGTTCACTGCAGTCGTCGTGTGTCTCTGCTCAACTTTCAGCTCTGCCAGCATAGCGCTCATCTCTCTCAGTACAGAGTGGATGTCCGGCTGGCAGCTTTGTTGGGTGGAGGTTGTGGCTGGAGGTTCATTTCTGGGATCCTCAGCCTGAATCTGGTTCTCTCTGCCTTCATAATGACTCAAACTGACCGACTGTCCCTCCAACAAACTGCAGCACAGCAGCACCAGCAGAGAAACAGCTCTCATCCTTAACAGGCTTCCTTTGTCTTCTTGGGATTAAGTGGTAGACTCATAGATGCATATATTTATAGTGCGCACTAGTTAGTCATTAACTGTGTTGTAATAATGTTGTGTACGCTTTTATTCTCTCTCTAACATAAACTTCAAGATCTGATCTGTTTTATCTCATCTCACCCTTGAAAACATCATATAACAAAGTAAACGTGATGTTTTCATGGTAGCAGCACGTGTTCTTGTGGAGGTGCAGTTAAAACGTGAAGGCTGATTACTGTCACTAGAGTCTGGTTTAAAGGAAGCTTTTCACAAGTTCAGTATTTTATCAGTATTTATGATAGACAGAGTATTTATTTTAAATCTCTCTGATAACAGAAGTGCAGTAACTTCTATCAACTACTTTTTAACTCTTGTGTTTTTGGTCAACATAATCCAGCATATCCACATTTTACAGCTAACAAACTCAATTTTATGAAGTCAGTTCAAGTTTTATGGTGATATGAATTACTCAGAGGTCAAAAACCACTAATTACAACTGAGAAATAATGCGCTTTGTTAAGAGTGAAAATGGTTACATAGGCAAGGTTTATTAAAAGTGACAGGACAAGAAGAACATGGTAAACTGTCTAAAAGATCATAAAAAAAAAATCTGTTATCCGGGACTGAAAATCATCATCTAGAACAGTTGGTAATGAGAAACAAAGGAGAAAAACAGGATCATAAATAATGATGAATACACACTATTTCATGTACAAGGAAATACAATTTCTACTCTTTTTTCCATCGAATATTTAATGATGAGCTGCTCAAATAGAAAACAGCATTTGACCACTAAAGGTGCTGTGATGAAACCAATTATCATATATCCATGAATTAGGGTGGAGTTTAATAGAGACGACGTCTCCTACTTCCAGTAACAGTGAGACTCCATTAGAGGAACTCAGGTTGTGCTGGTCTTGATAAGAATATGCTCCAGTTATGTGATGTCCATTCTTATGTAGGACCGCTGCTACAACTCTTCCACTTCCTCCAAAAACGTGGAATTTGAACTGGTAGACTCCTCTCACAGGCGCAGTGAAAATTCCTATTAAAGGGTCAAATATTGGTAAAAATAGCATATATGGTGAGAATGGGGAAAGAATATATATATATATATATATATATATATATATATAATAACTCCCCCACTAAGCTGATTCCATTCACCATGTATTTATTCTTAACAGATTAATAATTAATAAGTGCCCTTTCACACACTGAAGTTGCATGAAAATCACAGTAATTTTGTTTATTAACAATTACAGCACACATGTTAAGGTTTATTAGATCAGATATGTTGTTAAAAATGAAACATGGACACATGAAATCAACATGAATGCAATAAATACATTCGTTTTTTAAAGATTTTTTAAACTCTGACCATCGTAATTTGTCACTGATCCTATAAAACTGTATTATATTATTATACTGTGCAAATAAATAATTGTGAATGGTTATACAATATATATCGCTGTTGTCAGAAGAAACCTTGTATTTCCAGAATGGTAACTTTACAGAAGAAAGAAAAAACCTACTTTCCTTTAATGTAAGTCAATGGAACCAGACTTTTTACCAAGTCATTTTGGTCCATTCATCATGAAATTTACACATAATGTAAAGGGCAACAGGCTTATTCATTATGTCACAAACTGAAAAATGACAAAAATGGAGATACAATGTTTTCTTCTGACAGCAGTGATATAATAGAATATGATTGTTTACAAATAATACCTGTAGCTGGGTTGTAAGCGTTGCCAATGTTGGTGAAGACATGTTTGTAGACCAGAGTAAATAAAGTGCTGTATGGTCCAGTATGACCAGCTTCACCTGCTGAGAGTGATGCTGAAAACACCACTTTTCTCTCTTCAGTAAACAGAACATTTTACATTGTTAGTCAAATAATGTAAAAACTGACTTTAGTTCTTCTTCTCTTCATTAAAACATTGTTTAAATGTTCATGACACAAATCTATTACATGTAAAAGCCAGGATCTCGAATTCATTTTACACTTTATGATTTTTCTTTTAAGGAAAAGAACAATAAAGGGTTCAACTCAGCTTTTTTAACATTTGCCAGATTAACCTGAATGTGGTTCTGTTCCAGTCAGTCTGTAAAGCTTTTCACAGCCCATCTTGTTCTGAACTGTATTCTGTTTGTTTATTGCTAATTCCAGTTTGTAGAAGAGTCATTCACCTCTCTCAAGCAAAGATTCACCAAGTCAACCCATCCTCCATCACCCTGATCCATCCCTGCCCTTCATTGCTGAAGTGGATGCCTCTAAGGTAAGAATGGGGGCTCTTCAGTTCTGGCATCAAGAAGTTCTCCCTAAGTTGTGACCTTCTTGTCTGAGAACCTTTCCCCGACTGAGAGACATTACAATATGGGCAATAGTGACCTCGCAGCCATCAAACTGGGCCTTGAGGAGGCACTGGCTTGATGTGACCCTCCATCCTTTTTTTAGTGTGCATCAGAACCTGGTGTACATCAGGAAACCCAGTACATCTCCTCTTGTTAAGCCAGGTGTGCTGTGTTCCCCTATAGAGATACTATGAATGAGGCAGATGCATCATTTAGAGTACACAACCCAGAACCTACAGATGCCTGACCTCAGCCCATTATTGTGCCCACCTGCTTGGTCAGTCCTATCATCTGGGAAATTGACCAAGAGATTTCAGGAGCAGCAGCCCTGGACCCAGCGACAAATCACCTGAGAGAATGTACAGAGAATGTACGTACCAGACATTGCACAATACTCTGCTAATATTGGTGGCTGGTCTTTTAGCCTCGCCTGATTTAACACCTGTGGCTAATTCTGAACAGTATAAAGCATGAACACTACACAGAATCACACTTTCTATTTGCTGCTGATATTCCTGTTTATTTTATTTATTCTTTGCTTCTGTTTATCTTTAGCACTGGTCTTAGTTTTCGCATTAGCTTTAGCCTTTGCCTTAACCTGGCTTTGTCCTTTTTTTTCCTTGTTTGTGCTTTTTGAGTTTTATTCAAGCTGGTTTATGTTTAGGGTTTAGCTTAAAAAAAAGTATATGACCTACAACAATTTTACTGTGGAGTTTGAGGAGGAACGCAGGGCCAAAGGCGCCTTTTTTGGTGCAGAGCTCAAAGTTGAAGCTTGTCAACATTGTCTGACAGAGAGAAACTGAGTCTGGACGGACATTTAAGCCAATAAACACACATTAAAGGCCCCTCACGGTTGACCCCAAACATGAATTCTCATTAAAAGATCATGTCTAGACCCGCAAACCTATTCTGTGGGCAGAAGGAGGCAAAGCACAGTATTATATTATATTATATATACATATTAAATATGTGTATTATATTAAAGTATTTGTTGAATAATTGTGAGGAAGTTCAAACTGTAGTACAATGATGTCCCCATTTCCACATTTGTATGCATCTCAAACTTTCTGTGGGAAATGTTAATGGATTACCTTGATTCTCTTTGTCCAGGTTCTTCACTTGGCCTTCTGTGATCTTTAAAGAGCTTTTCAGGTCATTCAGTTCCTCTGAATGACAAAGAATATGGTTTATCTATCAGGGTCCACGTCTTAATTGAATAAAGATTTATTCTGATAAAACTTCATTCAGAATGTCACAGTTTAGGAACTGTGGGATGAGATGATTGGCTAAAGTTGAGTTTATTTTTTTTCTGAAAATTATCAGGGGGATTGGTTTATATATTACATTATTTTGTCTTCATGCACAAAGCCAAATGCTTATACCTACTTTAATTCATTTCTAATTGGAAATTCAACAAAAAAGACTCTAGTTTTATATGGTTACCGTTATTTTTCATCTTCAGTTCTTCCAGTTCAGACCCAAATCTTGCCTCCATGACACTCTGATTCACTGCTTGAGCTACAGATAAAAGGATTAAAGTGAATTGAACAAACTAGTAGTTAAGGGGTTATTTTTATTTCAAAGTAAACAGTCAAATAAGCACTTAGATCAGCATGAGCCAGTATAACATTGGAGTGGTTGAGTCCCACCAATGAACTGGTGCTGTTCTCTGAGCTGAAGGGGGCGCCACACAATATTAACAAGATGTTCAAGAAGTTCAATGTTTCATACACTGAATAGAAAGTATGGAAAGTAATATTAGGAAGTCTGGTTTTGTAGACTGAAGGTAAAGTTTGATTATACACACTAATTGAGGTAATTTGTTGAGAAATCATCATTCAGTTTAAATTTAGTTGGTGGTAACACATTCCTTAACTAACACACTAAATACACATTCTCTTCTCAAGTCTCTCAGATATTCTGTTGAAAATTGAAAATTCTTACCTTGATACTCCATCTTCAGGTTCTCCACCTGGCTGTCGAATGAGGTTTTCAAGTCTTTCAGTTCCTCTGAACAACAAAGAACATTATCATTATAGTCATAATGTCTCGAGTCAATGCACAGAATGAATGTTGAGAATTTCTGAGAATTACGGAGGGGAATATGAACATATATATTTTTTTTTTGCATAAAGCGGAATGCTTGTTTACATTAATACATCTCTCAATTTGAAATTAAAGTTGGATATAAGAGAACATTCATCTAATCTACTGAGGACTAAATTGGTTACAGGTCTCATTTATAGTCCCTCGGTTTTGTCTCCATGGAAACCTGATTCCTTTCTCAAGCTAACGATGGACCCATGGGATTAAAGTTTATTGAACATTGTCATTTCAAACTAATCTCTCACATATTACATGTTCATTTAATCTATAATTAAGATAGGATCATGTTCAATAACTCACCTTCATTCTTTCTCTTCAGTTCCTCCATTTGACTCTCACTGGCTCTCAGTCTGCTCTCCATGCTGTTCACTGCAGTCGTCGTGTGTCTCTGCTCAACTTTCAGCTCTGCCAGCGTAGCGCTCATCTCTCTCAGTACAGAGTGGATGTCCGGCTGGCAGCTTTGTTGGGTGGAGGTTGTGGCTGGAGGTTCAGTTCTGGGATCCTCAGCCTGAATCTGGTTCTCTCTGCCTTCATAATGACTCAAACTGACCAACTGTCCCTCCAACAAACTGCAGCACAGCAGCACCAGCAGAGAAACAGCTCTCATCCTTAACAGGCTTCCTTCCTTCTTGGGATTAAGTGGTAGACTCATAGATGCATATATTTATAGTGCGCACTAGTTAGTCATTAACTGTGTTGTAATAATGTTGTGTACGCTTTTATTCTCTCTCTAACATAAACTTCAAGAACTGATCTGTTTTATCTCATCTCGCCCTTGAAAACATCATATAACAAAGTAAACGTGATGTTTTCATGGTAGCAGCACGTGTTCTTGTGGAGGTGCAGTTAAAACGTGAAGGCTGATTACTGTCACTAGAGTCTGGTTTAAAGGAAGCTTTTCACACAAGTTCAGTATTTTATCAGATCTTCTACTTGACTCTCTCTGGTGCTCAGTTTGTCTTCCACAAAACCCGGATTAACTGCTTGAGCTAAAAGTGCTCATAAAATCAGGGTTGGGATAAGTACTGATGAATAAGTAGTTACAATTAGCTGCTACAATTTATCTACTTTTCAAAAAAAGCTACTTTTTAGCTACTTTCAAAGCACGACTGTCAGAATGTTTGTGAATCTCCACCTGACACACCAAACAAGCCCAACAAGCAGTGTGAACAAGACACTGCATTTAATCATGAGCCAGAAAGAAACAGACAACTGAAAAGCTGCAAATATACAAAAAAAGAGTAAGTTTAAGTGCAACCCACAACCAAACTTACACAACCAAAGGTTAAGACTAAATTAAGACTAAGTAAAGACAAAGTCAATCCTTCCAGGTTTTTCCTAACAAAAATCAACAAAAATAGCCGAAACCAAACAATTTTTCTCCAATTTAAACATTTCAGTGAGATCTGTACAGACATGACATTCAGAGTCCTTTGTCAAACTTCAGCAACACTTTAGCCTCAAAATTCTCATCAGTGACGCTCGCTCTGCGCAGTACTGTTATAGTAATAGTCTGTTACAAAAATGTTTTTTCTGCTTTAGCTAAGCCAGGGATCAGCAACACAGCTCTTTAACTGCCCT